TTCTTACTAGATCTGCAAAGGGTAATGGGCAAAGATGATGCAAATGCAAAATAAGATTTTATTTCTCTAAAAGAAACTTCTTTGCATTTGATACTTCTGCTTTCTGGATTTAATCTATATTTTAGTATTGGGATCAAACTGTTGAATGCATTTAATATGCAATTTAATCTTGTTTAATTTGTATATTTATGCCTGCAGATTATGTTTGGATTGCTCAGCAAAGTCAAATCTTGATTATAGCCAAACATGTTGATAAAGTTCAAGGAGCTGACTGTGACTTTTCTTTTTCAATGGTGGAAATTAGAGATGGTTATGGGAGATTTGGGAAGAGGAAGTAATGCTGTTAAACATCATTTTAGTTAAGTTGAGGCATGGAGGTCACAAGGTTTTCTGCTAAGTGAGGTTAAATTCAAGCAAGGTTGGTGAGCAGTAACGTCCCATTAAGTAACAGCTGCTGGAGGATGCTGCAGGAGTTTTCAGGGCAGTACTAGAAAAAAGTCATTGTATTTGGAAAATTACTAGGATTTCAGCTCATTTGTGAAATAGAAGAATGTTGCTTTCATTAAGAAATCTCTGAATTGAAGAATAAATGTTTTGATCATTATGTGCTTTGCATTTGAAGGCCAATGACATTCCCAGTTCTAGCATGAAGTCTGCAATCCTTCCTTCTAGTGACATTTTTCTTTTTTATTTTTTTTTTTTAATTCTTCTGTTTAAAAGCAAAGAAAAAGAGCTTGTGGCAGATAGAAGTGGCTGTTTAGAATTGGTATTTTATTGTGAAGGGATGAGGTCATAGAGCACAGCAATAACCAGCAATCTTTGACTCCAGCATCGACAGCTCCACGGGTCTGATCTTTATTGCACTATTTTATCAATTTGGGAGGAAGGGGGGGCTCTGATTAGCATATCTGTTTCAGGAAGAGTATCAAGAGTTCTCTAATTTCATATTTAAATCTGGGATCTGATTAATACTGGAGGCATGCAGAGAGCTATAACATGAAGGCTGTTGTTACTATAGTGAGATGGTATTAGAGACATCACAAGACTTGTTATACAAGGAAACACGATTACTTTGGATTAAAGGAGTTGCCAAAGGCTTGAAGGATTTATTGGTGCTGCTGCTTTGAGTTATATATAACTTCATTATTTTGTTGAAAACATTGAGATCTAGACTTAATGAAGCACAGTAAATGCTGCTGAAATGAATCAGCAGGTTTGACAGCTTTGAACTGACACCAAGCCACCGATGAATTTTGTGGGAGCATTCTTTAGGTCTCCAGATCGCTGGATAATGTACAGAAAGGAATAAATCCAGCTTTTGCAGGGAGAAATGAGTCTTAATGAGTGCAGTGAGGTGCAGCAGAGTTGATGTGATCAAGATCATATTTCTGAAATGACTTGGAATTCTTGAGCTTGTGGGGGAGGAAATGGGCTGAGCTGCTGGGGCTGGGCTGGATCTCTGGGATAAAACATTCTGGGAGCAGGATGAGTGACAGCAATGGTCATGGAAGTCTGAGCTAGGCCAGAGGAAATGGGGAATTGTGGCTGTAGAAACAAAGGACTGAAATTGGCTTTCTTTTCCTGCAGAATTTAGTCACGGGTAGTGTAATTAGAGGGGAAATGCAGATGTGAGACAGCTCTGTGGTGTGCTGGGCTGCTGCAAGGTCTCTGCTCTGGGTGAGTTAGGAGTTCAGTGCATCTCACATCCATTGGATCATTTCATTAATCTCAGCTGGATAAAACTGGCAGCATTTTGACACTGCTTCCCTAACCCAGCTCAGAGAGTGCTGTGACATCCAGAAATGCTCTCTAGACAGCTGCATTCCATTCCTTTCTGTGAAGTCTGTAGTACTGCAGAGATGTTTCAAAAGGATTATTGCTTTAACAGATGATTAATTGCAAATTATTTATTGCTTTCTTAAAATTAGCTCAGCAGTCATCGTTTACTCTTGATTCCACAATGCAGAATTAGTGCTGTGGGAATGAATGTGAGTCTGAATGAGAAATGAGCCATAATCAATGATGAAAGGTTTTTAAGCTTTGAAATAAGTCTTACAACATTAATTCCTTACAAGCAATACTGTAATGAGAAAATATGTAATGGCAGAAATTGTTCTTGAGCTGCCTTTGACTCTCCCCTCTGCAATGTGACTCAGGAATTTAGTTATGGAGAAATATGACTAAGTGTCTTCTGCCTTTGAGGTACAGCCCTGGGTGAAATCCAGCATGAGACTGGATTTCAGTGCATTGGATAACTTCTGCCCCAGTCTTTTTAACTTTGAATTTGGGACAAAACTACATCAAAAGCTGGAATAGCTTCCTCATCCGACTGTTCCATGGCCGAGTGGGATTTTTTGTTCTTTTGGATAGTGTCTGATTACTAAATTAAGCTCTCAGCATCAATAAATCATTTCCCTGCAAAGTAAAACCTGTCATTTTTCATACCTGTTGTGTTTTGTACCTTTTGAAATCTCTCTCTTGGGGTTGTGGAGTGACTCCCAGGGTAGGCACAGCAGGCAGAAGGCACAGAGGAGTCCAGGTGCAGCTCACAGTGTGGTGGGGGGACGAGCTGGACACATTCCAGAGGATTTGCAGGAGCTGGGTGAGCTCTGGGAGCAGGTTGGGGTTATGGGGTTCACAGAAAGAGGAGCCAAGTGAAAAACCAAAGGGAGGGTTTTTCAGGAGCCCCACACACTGCGTGGTGTGATCCATGTGAGGCTCACCAGGGCATTCCTGTTCCAAGGAAACAGGTGGGGAAGCAGGGAGCATCATTCCTGATCCTGCAGGAGCACAGCTCGCACACCAACTTTAGACAGCAGGCTGGTGCTGGAGCGTGTTTCTCACCACATGGAGGTAAATCAGAGCCTGCAGAGACAACTGTGTGGAAAGGGTGTCCTGCTCTGAAGTGTTGCCTTGCATTGTCCAAGTGGAATATTTTAATTTAGGGCTTCTCATTCCATGCTATGAGCAGCATCACGGAATCAAAATCTTCAAATGCAGAAATCCGTTTCTTCCGGATGTCAAAGAGTTGGAGGGCAGAAGGGAAGAATGGGAACAATCTCTTGCCCAGATTATAAATTAATGGCAATTATAAAAAACCTGTTAGTCCACAAAACCCAGCAGCTGCGATTTCTCCACTCTTGCAAGCCCTCAGCTCATTTTTCTCTCTGTATCCCACCCAAAGGTATTTTTAAAGCTGAATGAAGACAGCTCTCATTCTTTATTGTGCCTATATTGACATAAGTCACAGATGTTATTGCTGTGCAAACCACTGGTATTATTTTTGCTCTTAAAGACTTTCCTGGTTTCCCTTTTGCTGGGACAATTTTGTCATTGTTGCTGGGAGCTGGAACTATTTCATTCATGGGCCACAAATGTTTTCTGTTAAGCATTCAAAACCTTCCATCCTCCTATTGTGCTCTTCCAGTTTACTATAAAGTGCTCCAGCCCCATCCAATAGAGTTTGCTTTAAACCTTCCTCCAGTGCTGTTATTTTTAACATTTTCTCAGTTTTGCTTTAGTTCTCCAAGATGTATCATTGCAGTGAATTTAGTGATGAATTTCTCCTGTCTCATTCACTCACTTCAATCCCACCTCTTGCTTCCTTTGGATTTCCCAGCATCCCAGCATTTCTGCTCTCCATAATTTCTGTGCTCCATAATTTCTCTGTTTGCATTGGCTTTGAACATCTCCTTTGCATCCTCTGGATGTTGGATATGAAATAAAATATTAAATAAAAACATTCATCTTTACATCTTCTGGATTTGCAGATTTACTTCAGGTTATTTCATGGTAAACTCTCAGACTCAGCACTTGCAGCTTCCTGTTATTTTTGTATTCTTTTGTTCTAGTGGTAGTTGTAAGCTGATACAGGAATGCTTCTAGACATTTACTTTTCAATATTTTCAATATTCAATAACTAATAATTAAAACTATAACTAATAATTCAATGTTCACTATTTCAATTTTCAATAGTTTCTTTTTTTTAATTTACTTTGCAATAATGGACTTGTTTTTGTATCAAAATGTTATAAAAAATGCTGTTCATTACTGGCCCTTTCTTGCACTTTTTGTGAGCCTTGTCCTGTTAAAAAAAAACCAACATAATTTTTCTTCAGTCTTTCTGTTCTTTCACAATAATCTGGTTGAGTAATGCAGCATTTATTCAATTTCTGCTTGCAAACACTTCCATTTTAAACAGCTACTGGACTAATGAATTACATCAGTAATACTGCAGTGCTGTTAACTGATTTATACTTCATTTTTATACTTTTTGTTTTGTTTGCATTTAAATATTTAAATTTGTTCTGTACAAAAACTGGACTAGAGGTTAGGATCAGGCCCTGTGTTTTATTCTATTTGTTCCTTTAGTGAGCCCAGCATTTATTCTGTTCTCCCTATAAAGTCAATTTAATATTCTGGTTGATTTTCCATTCTTCTTGTACAAACATGCACCTTCCAATATTTGCATCCCAGTTGAGCAATAAGAAATTGTCAGTACCTGTTTTTCCTGCCTGTTGAGTATCAGGTGTAATTTATGTAATTTACCAGGCATTTTTTGAGGGGGGAAATATTCCTTCATCCCATTGCCCCTTGTCAGCAGCCTCCCTCAGCCCTGTGTGCCTGGGGAATTATTCTAACCCACAGCTCTTGCCAAAGCCTGTTACCTCTACATTTGACAATTAAACATCAAAAGTTACGCTTTAAACCCTAACATTTATATCTATTAAAAAAAAAAAGTTGGTTTTTTTTTTTTAATCTTGTTTTTCCTCTATCTTCCTCATGCCTGAAACTAATGGAATTTCTTGGAAACTGAAGGCTGTCCACAGGATCCTGATGGCCTCAGATACCATTTTTTTAAACCAATATTCTATTTCCATGGTCAGAATCAGATTGTGTGTCCTCATTCAGACGAGAGTGAGAGCGTCTGTTTCTGCCCCTATTTTTGCACAGACATTTCTGAACTTTTCACTGGAGTTTTTGCTCTTCTTTCACCCCAGTTCCATGGAAAGAACGGAGCACATGGAAAAGCTGGGCTGAAACTCCTGCTGCAGCTTTTGTACTGAAGCTCTTGGCTTTTGTGTGTTTTTGCTGCAAACCAGAGCATGCTGACATCACCAACAATTCCCAGATTTGTTTTCACCCCCCTCACACAAACAAAAAGAAGGAGCCCCTTCTATTCCTGTTTTTTGGCCAACTCAGGTCTCCCCATCGCTTTTTATTGAGCAGAAGAGCCAAGGAAGTGAAAAATCAGAAGTTGGTCATCCTTGTTCTCACCATCAACTCCAGCACATTTAAAGTTGAATTTTTATCCCTGGCAATTGAATATCTCTTCACAGAAAAACACTGGAAGTTCTTGGAATTACAAACATATCAGGCCACGAGCCAGGCTTTCCCTGGCCAGGCAGTGACAAAAGCTGCCAGTGGATCTGAGTTTTATGTGGTGGTTTTTTCTACTGTTCTCTCTGAGATCATCAAAACTTATTGCAACAAGGATTCAGTGCTGGATTTTAATCGTTTTTCCGCAGTTAAAACGGGAATTCTCACTTAGGGAGCAGCCATCAGATCGTAGCTGAAGTTGTTCATCTGGAAACTTTAAATTAAGTTTTATCCCAGTATATTAGTAATTTTAGCAGAATGTTCTAATCCAAAATGAAAATCAGATGTTCTTCATGGAAATAGGGAAGTCCAGACAATGGCTATTGTGTTTAGGTTACAAGACTCGTGGTCTTCCTTTTTTTAATTTTATTTTCATTGTTTACATTGCAGGCAAGTCTTTGTTCATTCTAAGGAATAAAGCTATTAGTTTAAAAGCACTATTTTTTTAAAGTTTATATCCAAATATATTTCTCTTGAGCTGTATAAAAAATTGGATTTTCTGGAAATTCATTGCCCTCATGAATGGACTCCTGGCGAGCGAGGAATTTTTATGACTCCCTTAAAAAAACAATTGCAGGCATTCTACAAATAAACAATTGTGTTGATTTGGGGGTGGGGGGGGTGCATTTTAATGGCTGTTTTATAATTATTTGTTCTCCAGTGTTTATTTCAGTATGGTATGTTGTAATTTTTAACTTAGTTATCCTAAGAATTCCCTTGTACAGCAGAGAGCAGAGCTTTGGAGCAGGAGCCAATTCCCAAATGCAGACCCAGGCCTGACTCTGATATTTCACTCATTTCCATGAGTTCCTTCTGGAAGAAGAGCTGGAATAGTTCAGGCCAGCCGCTCTCAGCTTCTTTTTGCATCTTCTTTTGGCAATTTTGATCTCTTTTCCTCAATTAGATTTTCCTCCTGTGTCTCTCATTAATAAATTTCACGTGTGATTTTTCTTTTGTTTGATTTTCCTCCTTTCAGGGCTGTTTTTGCTGAATGGTTGAGAATAATCACAGCTCCACTGGATTTGGCTTTTCCTGTGTGTAAACCCTTGTGAGTGACAATTCTGATTTTCCTGGCACAAGAATGCAGTGCCCTGTTCTGTCCACAGCAGCACAAACCCTGACATTGCACAAGAGGCTCGTTTGAAAAATTGGGATAAGGGGGACTGAACAGTCCTGGATTGCTCCTGGTCCCAGAGGGAGCAGCAGTTCCATCACTCTTGCTTTTGGACAGGATTTGCTTTTTACTGCTCAATCTGCAAATAATCCAGGAGATGCTGCTACCACCAGCAGCACAGCTTGTGATTCAGCTCACGCTCACTGCGGGATTTTTTTCTGATTTTGAGTCATTCAATAATATTTTGTTCACCCTGAGAGAGTTCAGAGGGAAAATGGTAACATTTAGAAAATGAAAGATGTTGTGCAGCCAGGATGAGCCTGAGGTTTCAGATGTTTGGGTCTTGACATCCTTTTTGTCAAACCTCTGTGTGTGTCACACTCTCAGCAAGTTTTCCCTCAACTCCCTTAATCCATGAGGTAGAAATGTTGCCCCTTTTTACAGGAAAAAAACAGATTAACTGGCAGCTTTTGTGCTTGCAGCAGCCCTTGGTGTGTGTTTGGGAGCAGAGAGATCTAAAGTTCCTTCTGTGTGTGCACATAAATATCATAAAACATAAATATGGACAGCAGTGACATCAGTGATCAGGTTTTGTCAGCCCTTCCTCATTCGAGGGAGCCTGGCTGACTTTCAAAGGTTACTGCTGTCAGAAAATCATGAAACAGAAGAAAATACAAATCAAAGATGCCGTGATCTCCTTCCAGCCCTGGAAGAGCAGAAAGTCTGTGTGTCAGAAACCAGATCACTCCTGTTTTCCTGCTGGGAGGGAGCAGGATGCTGTGGAGCAGCATGATTCCCTGGGATTTGCCCACTCTCAAAAGAATTCCTTATTTTTCTGTCAGAATCAGTATTTCTGACTGTGCCAGAGTGATTTATGTCACAGTTCAGCACCGGCTTGGCCTCAGCCAAGAGATAAAAGAAATGGATGTAAAGATGAGAGCAAGAAGAAGGAGCTGTCCCAAATGGGCTCTTCTTGGGTGTTTTTAGAAGGTGAAGTGAAGCTGGCTTTGTGCAAGTTCAGACTTGGCAGGACTCTATGATTTCTTTTTAATTGATGAATTTTACCGAGGTTTTATTTCATCAGCACAGAAACTCTTTGCAAAAGACAAATATTTTTTATTGTAGAGGAGCTGAGCAGTCAATGTCTCTGTGTGTCTTTGTGTTTCTACAAAACCCCCAGCAGCAGAAAGAGAATCACTGAAAAGCTGAGCCTCTCACTGCTTTATTGCTCTGCTAAAAATTGGTATTTGTGTACTTTTTAAGAACAATTAGAGGGATTCAGTTTTAGTCAGCTGTATCTTAAAGCTGCAAATGTGAAATCATTGGTCATTTATTTTGTAAATTCCTTGAAAATTTTTTTATTTAACTGTTCTGCCTGCAGAGAGATTTCTTGCTGCTTTCTTTTATGATAGGAAAGCTAATGGGTGAGTGAATTATCACAGGGAAAGGAACATATTCTGAGCAGTGTTTCAGGTCTCCCAGGGGAATTACACAGAGGAGAGCAAACTTGGCTGAAACTTGGGTGTCATTTATTAATTAACAACACAATACTGCAACTAAAAACCTTTTCAAATTTCAGTTTCAGCAGCTTCAGTTTTACTCAGCTGTATCTTAAAGCTGCATATACACTAATCTGAAATAATTTGTCACTTTGCAGATTCCTTGAAAAATGCATTATTTAACTGTCCAAACAGTTCTGCCTGCAGAGAGATTTCTTGCTGCTTTCTTTTATGATAGGAAAGCTAATGGGTGAGTGAATTATCACAGGGAAAGGAACATATTCACACTGTGTTTCCCTCAGAGTTCTTCCCAATACAAAACAAACGTGCAGCCTCTGTTTGAAATAATTAGCCGTGGTTTACTGGGGGAATTTTGGGACTTTCATGTTGCACTAGCTTTTGATCAAAATTTCCCTGCACTGCCTCGTTTTAATTCTGGCCATCTGGATTAAAAGGCTCTCTTAATCTTAAATACAGATTGTAACTCTTTCTTTTGGAGTGTGCTGCCATAAAATTCGGGCAGCTTTCCAGCTTTCTTCATTAAAAAGTTGCTTTATTATGGTTTGTCAGCCATTAAATGATTGTTATGCACAATGGGCACTTGATTATAATTTGCTGGAGCTGGGAATCGGTTACAGCAGTAATCCAGTTGTGTAATTAAAAGAAAGCATGTTTATACCTGCTAGCATCTCCTGAGAGCTGCTGAGGGTGAGGAGAAAAGAGACTTGAAAGGCAACAATTCCTGCTAATAAGGCACGGAAGGGCTCTAAGCCACCAATGTTTTGTGCTGTGTTGTGGAAGTGTGATTTCTTTTCCATAATTACTGGGTTTGAACCAAAATCTGTTGTTTAAGGTAAATAGGCAGTTTGATTTGTCACAAATCTCCTCGGATCTTTGATTTCTCTTTGAGGTTAGGAAGAAATGTGAATTTCTTGCAGAAAAGGAGCAATCGGGGATCCTCGAATCCTTCCCCAGTTTTGTTTCTGTTCTTGTGGGTTTGTTTGTTTTTTTTATCAGGGAACTCAATCTCACTGTTTTTTTCACCTGTAAAGTTCTGAAAAATTGTGAGAAAATGGCTAGCTTTAAAATTATTTTAAAAGGGAGTTTTTCATGGGTGTTTGTGCTATTTATTTACTTTTATATTTTTGGCTGCTGGGAAGTCCCAGCTGCACAGTTGAACTGTTATGGACAAATGTGGCATAGCTGATGGTGTAATTTAATCTGATTTTAGCAGTATTTTATGGATAGCCTAAAGTAGATACATGATAATTTAATAAGTATTAAAAGGTATTTCTTTATAACATTGCAGTGATGTAGCAGCTTTGTAATGTTTTCTTCCTGAACCTGTGTCTCCTAAAATTCCATCTTTGAGATACCTTCTAGTAAATCTACACCTGGAAAACTTTCCTGGGAGCTGAATTTGTGCACATTTGTTGAGATGAAGCTGCTAAATGAAATAATTTCATTTTCAATTTTACAAGCATCTGTTTGGCTGGAAAGAGTTTTCTGTCCCAGCTGAGAACTGGAGAGATGCAAACGTGCAACAAATTCCTGTCTTGCATTTAGTGGTGGTCTGCAGGAATTGTGCCTAAAGGAGGGCAGAAATTTGCTTTTTCACATCTCTCAAAATGGAGCCCTCAAATCAGTAATTAAATCCTTTCTAATGGATTAAAATAGATGGTGATGTGGGTTGTGGGCTAAGCAAGATGTGCAGAAATCAAGGGAAGCAGCAGAATTTAATGCTCTCTCCCACAATTCTAATGAGCATTCTGACAACAACAATTCTTATCAATAAAATCAATTCAAATCAGGGTTGTTGATGATTTAATCAGGAGTTTTCAGTCTTGTTAAACAAGTGAGGAACACAGAGTGGAATAAAACCAGGACTTTATAATTCTGCCTTTCCTCAGCATGGGAAAGTTCTTGGGGGACACACAAATGAGATGTTCAGCTCTTCTGAGGAAAACCTTAAAAACAAATTCAGAGTTACATGAAAAATCCTTTCTTTTCCTTTCTGTGAGGGTTTGTTTTGTTTGTTGTTGGTTTTTTTTAATACCTTTGTTGATTTTGGAGA